GCTTCCAGAATGTGAAGCAACAAGAACCTTAGTCATTGCTGGTAGGAATGCAAAATGGTACAGCCACGTTGGAACACAGTCTGGTGGTGTTTTACAAAACTAAACATACTTTTACTGTACGATCCAGCAATCATGTTCCTTAGTATTTACCCAAAGGAGTTGAAAACTTATGTCCATACAAAAACCTACTCTTGGATGTTTATACCAGCTTTATTCATCATTGCCAAAACTTGGAGACAGCCAAGATGTCCTACAGTAGGTGAATGGATAAACAAATTGTGGTACATCCAGAAAATGGACTATTACTCAGCAATAAAAAGAAATGAGCTATCATGCCCCAAAAAGAGAGGGAAGGACCCTAAATGCATATTGCTAAGTGAAAGAAGCCAATTTGAAAAGGCTACATACTGTATGACTCCAACTAGATGACATTCTGGAAAAGGCAAAACTATGAAGACAGGAAAAATATCAGTGGTTGCCAGGAGTTTGGGGAGGGAGGGGTGACTAGGCAGAGCACAGAGGATTTGAGGGCAGCTAAAGTCTTCTGTATAATACTGTAATGGTAGACACAGGTAAACCTAAAACTAAAACTGCTCTAAAAAATAAAGTCTGTAATGACCTATTCAAACAAATTCCCTATAAAGAGAAACCCCTCCCTAGCTTTGTTTAGCCATAAAGACCTCAAATAACATCTAATTCATCACCTTTGTTTTATCTATGAAAAAGAAATATTCTTATGAATGAGTGTATTGTTTTGTCCTGGATTACATAATTGGTTAGAAGCAGAGCTAGGTCCAGAACCCAAGTGTTCTGGCTCTTAGCCCAGTTCTTTTTCCATAAAATGTTTAAATACACACATTTAATGTTTGCATGGGTTTTTAAGACCTACACCTGCACGTGGGATTCCAAGTTGCAAGAAACAGTGATTGACTCCATAGGTTCAGCCTACCTCACGTCTGTTCACTTCAATAGCTCTCTGCTGTTTGAATGCTGGGAGTCCTGGTCTGGACCACTCAGCCAGAAGCCCTCCCTGTAACAAGTATGCCAACATTTGCCAAACGCACTGACGCCCATGTCTACCACTGCAGGCCAACGCCAGGGGCCCCGCTGGTTTGCAAGACTACATGAAACAGGATTGGACAAACTAAAAAAAGAACTAACTCCTGACATTTTCAAAGAGCCCTCAAGATAAATTCAGAGAAGTTGGACTTTGACATGAGAATCTAATTGAAGGATTCCATCCATGCTAACTGAAGAACCATGTTCCTTTCTCTGGGAAAGTCATCTTCAACCAGTGCATATGAACATGAAGCAGAGAGGGTATCAGTGGGAAAAGCTAAACTCAGACATGTTGCCTTCTAATCCAATTTGGAGATTCACCCAGTTATCCATTCTTTTGTTTACTAAATATTTATAGAAGTCTGGGAATACACTGTATCTGAATCTACGGAAACGTCTAAATAGTTCTCAAACATGTATATTCTATATTAAAAACCTTTGGTAATCATCCCCAGTGCTAGCCGAAAGCAGATTGTTGAAGGTTGGGTTCCTCAGGAAGCAGACGCTGGGTGGGAGTGTGGCGTGTAGGATGTGTTTTGAGGAGTGCCCTTGGTATCAGCACTATGGATGAGGAAAAGGAAGCGGGATTGGGCCAAGGGAGAACTCAAACTGGAATGCAGGGCCAACAACAGACTCAACCAACCCACATGGAACTCTGGAACTAAACAGATCCTTCAGCCTTATCCAACATTCGGCCAAGATGTAGGCCTCTATATGCCCAAACTTGATCAGTCATTGTGCACGGGCTGCCCTGGGGAGGAGCAAGATTTTGAGTGAGGTGGCTTCTGCAGCTGCGGCGCCCTGACAGGCTGACAGGCAAAGGTACCTGCTGAAGACCCTCCCAGCACCTGGGCGACAGGGCCATCATGAAAGGGGGTCTGGGTGCACATCTCAGGGCCACACAGGCACTCAGTAGTATATATTGAAGGAATGAGGAATACTTTGAAAATCCTATTATTTTAACCAGAACTTCCATTATCCAGAATAATTCACAAGCTTTAGTCAGTATGCCTGCCATCACTGTCTAAAACAGAAGTCCTTTTCTAATCACAAAAGATGTCTCTAGACTTTCTTAGGAGAGCCTATCACGGGTGATAAAATCTGCCAGCTAGACCCACAGTTCTCTCTTCATGGGCTTTGGCCTAGAGATCAACGAGGCAGCCCATCTTGACAGCTTGGTTATGTAACCTGCTCCTAAAGGCGAACGCTCTCTCTGCTTTTGACTCATTCACCAAGAAAACTGCTCCCCAAGCAATCAGTTGGCAACATTTAGTTGATCTCTGGGTCTTAGCTGTTTGATCTCCAAGCCAAATCCTCTGTCAAGTCCATTCCCTGTGCTCCCCTAGGGATTCCAAAAGAGGAGGAAGCATGAACCCTGCAACCTGAGTTAGACACCTGTTGGTCTCCAGGCCCCTGCACCCCCATTCCACTCCTAGTTGGTGGTTAAAGACTTTAGAGAATCAGGAGAACTCTCTGGAAGATTCTAAATGTTTGCACAAATGAAGTGGCCTTTGAAGAGGTGGTAGGATTTATAGAGCCAGTGATGGAGGTGGGGCATTCCAACTAGAGGAAGAGCTTACGCAAAGTTGGGAGGACAGAAAATATAGGACAGATTAAGAAAGGTCAGAAGTTGAGCTTGGTCAAGGCATGTGCAAAGTAGGGAGTGCTTATGGAAAGAGGACTTTGACTGCCATGCTGAGAATATTATTCTGGAGGCAGTAGGCACACATATGCCAGATAGCTGACAAGAGTAAGGGGTATGCCCTATGGTCGCACACCACAAATAACAGGCTGCCCAGCAAGCACTTGGCAATAAACCCCAAGGGCCGCCAAGGTGGATATTGCCCCTGGTAATATGAGGGCAAAGGATCAACAAGAAGACAGGCAAGTGTATTTTCTAAGCAGAAGAATCATCAGTAGCAGAACGGATCAATACAAAGCCGCAAAGGCAGCTCTGAAGTCTAGATGAGCCACTGCTCCTCCTACTGGTCTCTATTTATACCTCTCCCCCAGGGGGCTGTCTGCTCTCTAATATCTCTACAGTGGCTCCAGACTCTTCCTTTGGGACTCCATCCAAAAAGCCTATGGCAGTGTGGCTCTGCCTCAACAGGCAAGGGCTGCCACCACCAAGACCTCTTCCCTAGGGCATCCATCACACTGTCAGCCCCACATGGCAGTATTTCCATAATCATCACTTTCACAGCTGAAAGGCACATCACCAAGTCACTCTATAAACTGCAGAGTGAGTGTTGCTTGTCTCTATGAATTCAATTTATGTTTATTCAGTTTGTTGCACTTTAGGATGCTTTGTTCCCATTTCTGGCCTGCCTGCAATTTGAAGAGCTAACGCTGGGCAGAGGCGGGCCTCACTGGGCCCCTTCCCACGCACCTCTGTGCAACCCCTCAGCCTGGCCAGGAGCCGCCACCACCCACAGAACTCGCTCTGTTCCCTCTGTCTCCTGCCTTCACTCGCTCTTCTTGTCTCCTCACCAGCCAGTCCTGCTCCCCTCACCTAAGACCCAGGGCTAGGCCAGCCATTTAGAGCACGTGTCTGGTCTTGAGACCTGGAGCCTGCTCATTAGTGCAACCTGCTGAACCTAGGAAAGGAGCAGGGCAGAAGTTCAGCCCTCAAACTGGCCGGGGGAGGGTGGGAGTGCTGTGGATGTGGGCCAGCTGGATACCCCAGGTCACAATACGCAAGCCCTGCTCACCTGTAGGGGCAGAGCCAGGTGTTTGCAGGGCCTGAAGCTAACACGATTTTGCTTTAAGAAAAATAATACACAGGAGCCAGCCCGGTGGCACAGCAGTTAAGTGCACACACTCTGCTTCGGTGGCCCGGGGTTCGCCGGTTTGGATTCCAGGTGTGGACATGGCACTGCTTGGCAAAAGCCATGTTGTGGTAGGCGTCCCACATATAAAGTAGAGGAAGATGGGCGTGGATGTTAGCTCAGGGCCAGTCTTTCTCAGCAAAAAGAGGAGGATTGGCAGTAGTTAGCTCAGGGTTAATCTTCCTCAAAAAAAAAAAATAATGATGATGATGATGATGAAGAGGCTATCCAGGATTTCATAAGTAAAAAACAAAAAAGAGAGTATTATATTCAATATGCTACCTTTGGGGCAAAAATGGGTAGAAAATAGTATGTATTCGTATTTGCTTATATGTGCTTGAAGAAATACTGGAAAGATACATAAGAAAAAAAAAACAGATGGGAGAAGAAGGAGATGAACAGAGATGGGGTCATAAGAAGGCATCTCCATGTACATCTTTGTCATATCATTTTGATTTTTGAACCACATGTATGTGCTACCTAACCAAAAATACAATAGAATAATAAAATGCCATAAAATTTCTATAAGTTCTTGGTCTGACTCAGTTACCAACTCTGCAGTCTCAGAACGCCATTTTACTCTTCTGAGTTTCGGTTTTTTCTTTTGTAAGGTGGATTCATTAGTCTTTGATCTCTTGGCTGTTGCTGAAAGTGCTCCCTTAGCTATATATGCCTGGTAAAATATTTGCCTGGCTGTTCCCCACAGTCACACTCCAGCTGTTACCTGAATTACAGGTCTCGCGTCTAAGACAGCATAGAAGCCCCTGGAGAACTTGATCCATAACCCACATCTTCACAGAACGTTCCCACCATGTAAGTGTGGGGTAGAGATGGACATCGCTAACTAAGAGCAAGAGACATATCTGGTCCTATAGATAAAATGAGTAAAAATGGAAATGGGAGGAAAGACGACTTTGCAACAGCGAGAAGTGGCTAGTACATGGCGAGAACCAAGACAACTGGAATATTAGTGACAAGACAGTGATGTGCAGATGTCTCATGCCATTATCTCAGATTTAGAGATTAGAACTGCAAAGACCCTCCCAAGCTCTCCTGGCTGCCCAATGTCCCCTTTGCTTGCATATCACTGACATTCTGACATCACACTGACATCACACCATGGCAACCATTGGATGAAGACCTCGTCTCCAGAGGACTCCTGTTAACACCAGACGTATAATGGGAGTGACACAGTGATCTGCTGGCACTCTTGAAGACATCAGCTTGGTGAGAGCAGAGACCTGAGTTCACTCCAATGTAGAAGGAAATGGGGTCATAAATGAAAAGAGCAAAGAGATGTGGAAGGAGACCTAGATGGCTCCACTGTGAGGGGAGCTGAGAGGCAGAAAGAGGCCCTGGTGCCTGAGGAGAAGCTTGGGGAGCAGCAGAGATTAGATTTGCCTGTTTGACACTGAGTACTTGAAAGGCTGTCATACTGATGAAACTGTCTGTTGAGTTCTACTTTTCCAGAAGGCATGCTGAATTGGTGGCAATCAGAAGGAGGAGGAGAGTGGCTCCATGGGAAGAACTTTCTTCTAGGGCTGTGTGACACGAGAGCAGGCTGGCTTCTGGTAGAGGGGGGCTTCCCGTCTCTCAGCTCAAGAGGCCTGGATGACTGCCTCTGTCCAGGACGCCCAACAGCGGTGTCCACCCCCAGATGAAGAATCAGAATTACCCAGGGGAGCTTCCTACAAACCAGCTTCCCAAACCTCATCCCTGGACACTTGGGTTTAGCGGGTTAAAGGGAGGCCCCAAAATTTGTATTCTCAACAGGCACCCAGGTGACTCTGGTACAGCAGTGGATGCACTGACATTTGGGAGACACTTAGATAAATAATCTAAAACTGGTTCATCTCAAGGTTTTATTTTCTCTAGAGTTTGCCCTACCCTAAGGAGAGGTCAAATATGATAATCCTTTCTCTTTCTTTCCAAGAAAGACAGGGACTTGGTTCTGCAACCTTTATTTGTCTCGATAACATTTCTCTTTGACTTCTATATTTCATCGCTCAAATCCTAGCACCACAAGAGAACACAGAGCACCCTTAGAACTCAGCAGTGCGAGCATTATGGCCACCCAGGGACAGGGGCTGATCCTGGGCCCCAGAGGAATAGTGCTCTCCCTGGAAAGGACTCCTGTCCTCTTCAAAGGGGGCTTGTCATTGTCCCCGGGCATCTGGACATGGAGGGGGTGCGGTGAAAATGTACCATGCTTGGGCTTAGGGGATCAGAGTTTGCATCTTTTGCGGCCTGACCCTGAGCATATTACCATACTTTCCTGAGCCTCGGTTTTCCATCTGTAAACTAACATGTGGCACTAGGTGGTTTTTCAGACACATCTTAATTGATTCTGAAACTATAGCGACTATCATTCACCAGGTACCTACCATGTGCAAGGCACACAGGTGTTCTCTCTCTAATATGTGTGTGTGAATATATATCTATACTTGTATGTATATGCACGTGTGTTTACATACATTTGTGTATATAAGTATATATGCATATATATGTATACACACATGCATATGAGTACACGCACACATGCATACATATGTGTATATACATACACATATGTATGCATGTGTGCATATGTATATTTATTTCTCATCCTTGTAATAGCCCCAAAGTTGTCATTATGCCCATTTTCTGGTACAGAAAGTCAAGCTCTGAGACTGTGGGCATCTTCAGGAGGGTCTCACAGCTGGTAACGATGTGAGGCATAGCTGAGCCAGGATATGAATTCAGGTCTTCCTGGCTTCCCAATCCACTCTTTCTCCTGCATTCTTGTATCTCTGCGATGGATGCTCAGAGGAACTGGCTGGAGCACGGTGTAACCGTCAGTGCTAGCGAATCCCCTGATTTTCTCAGGGGCTCGCTTGCGCAGGTCCTGTAGGGGGCGCTCCACTTGTTGAACCTGCTGCTCAGAGGCTGCCTGGTTAGGTTCACGCCCCAGCTGCTGCTGTCCTATGGCACTGGCACCCTGCAGATTCCGTCTCTTTTTGTGGCTTTGCCTCATCCCCTTTGGATCCTCCCCTGGTTTGTCACTTTCCCAGCCCTCCCATCTGCTTCTCGCTCCTGGCTTGGTGGGACAAGGAGGGCCCGAGGCTCCTGGTTCCCACTTTAAACCAACCCCACCTCGGGGTTGAGCTCCTGTTTCTGAGTCAGCCTGCCCCAGACTCCCTTCCCTGTCAGTGCCCTTGCACAGGTCACAGTCCTCCTTTCACAGTGGGGTCTAACCCCGGCAAGGCCTGGGCCCTTCAGAAAGCTCCTACTCTGCATACCTCTGTCTCGGGGCTCCCAGACACGCTGCTCAGACAGGCACCCTGCACCCCGTCTTTTGCAGCTGGCTTCAGGTTGTCTTTGTCTTCCCCTTGCCCCCAAAAAGACAACCCCTGGACTCCTCCTTTGTGCCTAACTGCGCTTGGGTCACTGACTTTAGTCTCCCTTGGCTTGAAACCTCATGGCCCCAAGATCTCTTACCTGAGTTGGGCCATCCCAGGACCTTCCCCATTTACCTCTTATTGCACCGGGGGTAGGACTTGAGCTGTCTGTCTAAGCCTGTTTGACAATGGCATCCCCCAAGAGAGCCCCTGCATTTTCCACCTGGAACCTCTCCCCACCCTAAACAACTCCAAGTAAACATGGAACCTAAATTGAAGCAGTGGTCTTGCTGTGTAAGCGCAGGTTCAAGACAGTCTCCTACATCTAACTGGCAAAGATCAGCAAGTTTGATTACACACTGGGTGGGTGAAGACGTGGGAAAACGGCCCCTTGTATATAACCGGTGACGTTATAAATTGGTTATACTTACAAGGAGACCAATTTGACAGGATCTCTCAAAATGTTAAATGCATATACCCTTTGACCCAGTTATTCTGCTCATAGATATTCAGCAGCATATTTGTTTTCTCTTGCTCCTGTAACAGATTACCACAAATTTAGTGTTTAAAATAACATTTGGGACTGGCCGGGTGGCACAGCAGTTCAGTGCACATGTTCTGCTTTGGTGGCCTGGGGTTTGCCAGTTCAGATCTTGTGTGCGGACATGGCACCGCTTGACAAGCCATGCTGTCGTGGGCGTTCCACATATAAAGTAGAGGAAGATGGGCACGGATGTTAGCTCAGGGCCAGTCTTCCTCAGCAAAAAGAGGAGGATTGGCAGCAGGTGTTAGCTCAGGGCTAATCTTCCTCAATAAATAAATAAATAAAATAAAATAACATAGATTGATTATCTCCCAGTTCTGTAGCTAAGAAAGTCAGAAGGCCCAGCTGATTTTTCTGCTCCAGGTCCCACCAGGCCGAAATCAAGGTGATGGTGGCTGGGCTCTTATATAGAGTCTCTGGGGGAGAATCCAGTTCCAGACTCACTCAGGTTGTTGGCAGAATTCAGTTCCATGCAAGAGTAGCACCAAGGCCCCTGTTTCCTTGCTGGCTGTGGGCCAGGGCTCATTCTTAGCCTGAGAGGCTACCCACATTCCTTGGCTTTTGGTCCCCTCCATCTCAAAGCCAGCAATGGTGGGTTGAGTCCTTCTCAGGATTCAAATCTCTCTGGCATCCCCTCATCTCTCCTACCTCCAGCTGGAAAAATTCTCTACTTTTAAAGGCTTATGTGACTGTACACCCAGAGAATCCAGGATAATCTCCCTTCCTTAAGGTCCCAAATCGTAATTCCATCTGCAAAGTCCCTTTTGCCACGTAACGTAACATATTCACAAGTTCCAGCAATTAGAACATGGACATCCTGGGGGACCAGTCCGCCTGCCACAGGCTCACTTGTGCAGATGGTGTATCCACAAGAATATTCACTGCAGTGTTCTTTGTAATTGTAAAATAATGGAAACAAGCTAAATGTGATCAGTAGGCGGTGGTTTATAAAATTATGGTTTATGCAATGGGATATACCATGTTGTTCCTAAAAAGAATGGGGCAGCTCTAAATGAATTGACATAAAAAGATCATGTCCTTGTATTTGGTGCAAAAAGGAAGAGTATATTAGCTACTATTTGTCTGAAGAAAGAAAGGATATATGTCTATGTTATATGTGTAATATACTATATATGTGCATGTGTGTATGTAATGTATAAATGCCACACAACATTTTTTGAAAAGATACACAAAAATTATTGATAGTAGTAGCCTCGAGAGAGAGAAGTTGAGAGGAACTGGGAGTCTGGAGGACAGAGCTGTCAGGACTGCAGGGTGAGGGCACTAAGCTGGCGGGAGGCTGCCTGCATTCTAACCTGGCTCTGCCCCTTGCCACCTAAGTGAGTGTGAGAAGGCAATCTCTCAGTGCCTTGATCTCTTTATCTGTTCATCTTTAACCTTAAGCTCTCTGTGTCTCACATCCTCCTCTATAAATGGGAATGATAATAATGGCATCTCCCTCTAGAGTTGTTGGAAGGATTAAATGAATTAATATATGTAAAGGTTTAGAGCAGGGCCCGGCACAAAGTGTTTGCTATCATGACCTGTTCAAAAATAAATCAATGAAATGTAGAGGGTAGGGGGAGACCACATCACATTGCTAAACCCAGCAGCTCCCTTGTGGAACTTCTGGTCCTCCCTGCTGATGCACCATCTCAGGGCAAAGGTCCAGAGAGGGCAGTGACTTGCCTAAGTCACTCTGGGACAGCAGAGTTTAGGCCGTGGTGGGCAGGGCCAAGCAGGCTGTCCTGGCTTTGGCTCTGGCAGCCCGTCCCTGCCCCAGCCGTGACAGGAGTGGGCACCCGAGTGGCGGTAAGCCTTTGCTCTGCTGCTTCTCCTTGAGGAAGGCTTACTTGGGGTTTTAGTAACTGCCATAGCAATTTCTAGGACAGAACATGCCAACCCAGGGTCTCTTTTCTGCTTTTTCCTCATGGATTCCCCTTGAATGACTCTGGATCTCAGGATGCGAGCCTGACCTTGCAGTGGGCCTCTGACCTCACTCTTGTTCTGCAGCTGGGAAATGGGAGAGTTAACACTAAGTAGTTTCACTGAAAGAGCCTGTGTCACTTGGGTTACATACAATTTTCTGAAACTCTGAGAAATGGTCTCAAAGAAATACAAGAACCTTTTTAGAAGCATTGTTACCAAAAGTTCGATCTCTGATCCCGATGCCAATCCAAATAACGAGAACAGAGTCTTGGGTGAAAAAGGGAAGGCTTTACTTTGCCAGGCAGAAGTCAGCTTTTGGGGCACCGGCCCTTGCTTTGCTCCTTGTTAAGAAATGGGTAGGGGTTTTCATTGGGGTTTGGGGGTGGAGGGGCCTTCTTGGTCGGCATTTTCCCCTTGGCCCACGTCTGGGGCTGCTTCCAGTGGAGGAGACACAGGATTTCTCAGATGAGTGTCCTTGCCTCTTTATCTCCATGGTGGAAGGTAGACTGTGACGTCAGGAAGCCGAGGAGTCGGGCCTGGGAAGCTTTGGTGTCTTGATGTTCTCTGGACATTAGTTTCTCTGTAGAGGAACTTCAAGGTCCTGGGATCAGCCGGAACTGTAGTGGGAGCCCAGTGTGACGTCATCTGGACTTTAACAATTTGTAGCTTCTATTTGGCTCTGTAGCTCGGGGCGTCAGAGGTTAAAGAAACAAACATTTACATATGAGTGTCACTAAAGACCCAGGGAACTGTAAATGTGCGCTTTTAGTTTTAACCCATATATGCTGGGTTCACTGTAGGGGAACAAATATCAGGGCTGATATTAACTAAGAGCCAGTAACAGCAGTTATAACTGACAGCCAAGGAAAGTTCTGGGCCACAACTCTTTACGGGGAAAAGTCAGACATTCCCATAATTCCCATAATTAATAAGAAGGGAAAAGGAAATAGGGAAATTCTACTCAGCCACTATACCTGGAGCAGATGCTTCAATCTGGTGATTCTTTCTCAGCAGGAGTTCTGCCGAAGGGAAAGAAGGAAACAATGCGTTGAAAATTTTATTCCCCCTCTCTTTCTCTCCTGATTTCTTATTTTCTCTTCTAAAGGTCAAGAATGTTGGCAGAGGCGCCTCAAGAAACACCTGCCTTCCACTCATGAGCTGAAATGTCATTGCTGAAAGCGAGGCAGATGAGTGGAAGTGGAAAGACCTGGGGCTGTGGGCGTCCTCGTGACCAGCCTGGCAAGGCCCACGCCTGCCCCATGGAGACTCTGGGGCAGCCTTTGCAGAAGCAAACACTATCATCAGGTTTGCATGAGTTCTGCTCCCTTGTTTTCTCTGCCTCTCGACTACCCACTTTATTTCAGCCCTGCGGTGAATTATATGTTTGGAGCAGAAGTAGGGGAGAACTCAGCCCCTTAGGAGTCATGAGACTGTAAGAGGATGCATACTGCAGGGTACTTTTTCAGCTGAGAAACAGAAAACATGGTCTGCTTTTTAAATCTTACAAACATACAGGTAAAGTCAACACGTACTTGTTGATGTGGGGCTTTTGTAACCCAGCAACGTGTAGCAGCAATCTGCCAGGATACGCTGAAGCCCCAATCCTGGGGAGCCACGCGCCAGCCAAGCGAAGAGCGGCTCCCTCTCCACGTCTCGACGTTAATTCCTCCTTGGTGACACCTGCTTGGTAGAGTAAGGAAAAGGCCTGGATTTTGCTAATTTTATTGTTTCTTAGTTACTAAACAGAATGAGATGTAGTCTCTGAATAAGGGCCTGCCCCGGCTTTGCAGGAACTACATGTGAAACCCAGGGCCCTGTGCTAAAAAATGTCCAGCTTGTTTCTCATCAAGTCACCTTACCTATCTCAGCACCTGCACAGGCAACGGGACTGCCTGGACATGCCCACCACTGTTAGGTCAGGTGTCCCTGAAAAGCTCCATCAAAACACTTTGAAAGAGTGAACACAGCTTCCAAAACTCACACGCCGTTATGAGCCATGAGAGAAACTGCTTCCGTTTGACTAACGAGCAACGGCCCGTGCTCTTTTTGTTCCCATTGCCAACATTTGCCCCACCTGAGGTAATTCACTGCTATTATCCTGGGGGTTTTCAGTTACCCTCTCTGTGCTGTGTGCTTGATGGAAGGTGGCAGGGGACTGAGTCCAGGGGAGCTCCTGTTGAGATGCAGAGAGTTGAAGTGAGCGGGCAGATGGCCACACAGACTCCCAATCCTCTGGGGTTCACTGGCCAAAAAAAGGTCAAGTCCAGGCTGAGTCACACGCAGAGAGCAATTTTACTTTTGTTCCTACACTTCACGATGTTCATTTTTTGTTAATGAGAGAGAGAGTTTGTGGGAAAGAATACAGACCTGCCATAGTGGTCTTCTGGTCACATTGTTTTGGATCAGACTACCTGTGTTCACATCCCTGCTTGCACGCTTCCTAACGCTGTGATCTTCAGCACTTAATCTACATGAACTCTTTAGACTTCATAGCAACCCAACGAGGCAGGTGCCATAAGCATCCCATTGTACAGATGGAACAACTGAGGCTTGGGGAGGTTAGATGACTTGTCAGGATCACAGTTATAAATGCATGAACAGGATTTGACCCCAGGGGTCTGATTCCAAAATAAATGTAACCAGAATGGATACCGGAATAGTTACAATTACAGATACCCCTGTCCATCTGCTGGGGCTGCCCTGACTAAGGACCACAGACCGGGCAGCTTAAACAAGACATTATCTCATAGTTCTGGAGGCTGGAAGTCCAAGATCGAGGTGTCGGCAGGGCTGGTTCCTCCTGAGGCCTCTCTCCTTGTCATACGGAAGGCTGCCCTCTCAATGTGTCCTCACGTGGACTTTCTTCTGTGGGCGCACATCCCTGGTGTCTCTGTGGGTCCAAATCTCCTCTTCTTATAAGGACACCAGTCAGATTGGATTAGGACTCACCCCAAGGGCCTCTTTTTAACTTAATTACCTCTTTAAAGACCCTGTCCAGGTACAGTCACATTCTGAGGCACTGGGAGTTAGGACTTCAATATAGGAATTTGGGGGTACACAGCTCAGCCCATAACACCTCCATTTCTCAGATGAGGAGATGAGACACAGGGCAGTTAACTTACATGGAAAGTCAGTGGTAGGAGCAACATTTGACCCAGGCAGACCAGTTCCCAGGTCCCACTGTCAACCTCAGCACCACCTATTTTCCTGCCTCTCTTGCTGGGTCAGACCATTCCTTTCCGTCCTGAGGCCATGACATCGGATGTTAGACAATGAGCATGCTGAGACTGAGGAGAGCTAGTAGTGGCTGGCATCAGCACGCTATATGCAAGGCAAGTAAAAAAAGGTACATCAGGAGACAACGTATCTGATCTAAGTTCTTACAATAAGTCTGCAGGAGAAAAGAAGTTTCCAGAAAGCAAGCCCTCTGGGTCACATTCCTCCAAGGGGGTCCATGTATCCAGACTCTAAAACCTGGTGCCTTTAAGAGCTCGGGCCTGGGGGCCTGGTGGCGCAGCAGTTAAGTGCGCACATTCCACTTTGGCAGCCCAGGGTTTGCCAGGTCAGCCCAGGGTTTGCCAGTTCGGATCCCGGGTGCGGACATGGCACCGCTTGGCAAGCCATGCTGTGGTAAGTGTCCCACATATAAAGTAGAGGAAGATGGGCACGGATGCTAGCTCAGGGCCAGTCTTCCTCAAAAAAAAAAAAAGAGCTCAGGCCTGGAGTCAGAGTGGGTTTACATGTGCTTTGGGTAAGTCACTTAAACACTTTGAGCCTCCATTCCTTCAGTGAAGGAGATGCACAAGGCTGAGAGTGAGCGTCACGTGAGACAATGCACGTTCAAGCACGTTGCATGATGCCTGGCACACAGAGGACTGTCAAAACCGTAAGCTATCCTGATGGGGAGCCCGCCTCGCAGGCCCCCTTCCAGTGCAGCAGGAGGAGCTGGAAGAGCACCAATGCCCAGTCTCTGAGGAAGTGACGTCAGGCTGCAGCTTTGAGTCTTGATCTGAATCACAACCTCCCCAGGAACGAGGAGGCTGGAGAGTGATTCCACCGCTACTTTCAGCCTCCCCTGGGTTGCAGCCAAATATGCTGAGAGGCTTAAAATTCCAAACTGATTTCTTCTCTCAGTGGTTTGCAAAAGCTGTGAGTTTGAAAAGAAACAAACTCAGACTTTGAGAGTGAGAGGGGGTATTGGGCCATGGGAGGTTGGTGGAAGTTTCTCCACAAAGCCTCAGGTGGCACAGGTTGTGTCCAGGCTTTACTGCTGCACTGAGGGGACAGCAAGACTGCCCTAGCCAGAAGCCAAACTAATCTTTGTTTCCTTCCTTGGGATCCCAGGGACTAGAAAAAGCTGCTCTTCCATGGAAGGGAAGGAGGTAGTCCCAGGAAACCTATCCCTGAGGCCCATGAGGCTGATGGGACCACGCTGTGCCCCGGACTGGACAAGAGGTGTCCAGGGCTCTGGGCATGGCCAGGCGTTCAGGCAATTGCATCTTTGGCCCAGGGAAGGCCCTTCGTCTCATTCCCCAGAGGTACTTCTCCTCACCTAGAAAGCAAGGTGGCATGACCAGCACTGATACGCCTCCCAGTGTTGGAAGGACAAGGTAAGATCAAGTCTGTGCAAAGAGTTCTGAAAACAACCAAAAGGTTCTCCACAGAATCCAAGATGTTCATATGGTCAGGCACCTGGGCCTCCTCCAAGAAAGCAGCCTAGCCATCTGGGCCTCCCCATGTGCCCAGTGCAGGTTATAGAGCCCTAAACAGTTTACACACCTCAAATATTCAGTCAATATCACTGTGATAAGCTCAGGGAAGAGCATCTTCCTTTATTCTCTCCCAAAGGAGATGTGTAAGAAATAATGATATAAGATTATTATAGTCACAAGCTTCCTCAAATTAACAGTTTAGCCAACATTTATTAAGAAGTGACAAGATGTAAGACCATGCGGAGGAATCCAGGATAAAGGTGGCTTTCACTATATTTATTTGTTCATTCTTCCCTTTATTCAGTCAATAAGCATCTATTTAGTACCTACTGTCAAGTGCTATGCCAAGTTCTGGGGTTTTGCATACTATGATATAAAAATACATGCACATGCTAAATGGTTTGATGGGTGAACAAAGTACCAAGGGAGTGTAGGGAAGGGAAAGTTAATCCCGACTTAGGAAATCAGAGAAAGCTTCTTGGGGGAGACACACTTGAGCTGTCTTAACTGATGGCTGAACTTTTAGCACTTAAAGATGGAGAAAAGTTGCTCAGAGGGAGATGTGAATACCAGCAATGAGTCAGGAGGATCCCTGGTGGCTCCACGGAGGCTGAGTGCCTGTCTTCGTGTAGTAGGAGCAAAGACAAGAGCTGGTCCCTGCTCAGAGTTGTCGGTCGGCCCCAGTTCCTCATCCTCTAGCCCCATGACTGGACTCTCCATCTTTCCCAAGATTCAGCTTTGCCTCAGTTCCCACCACAAGCAAGAGGTGAAGAAGGGAATTCTTAACCCCAATCATTACCCCTGCCCTCAGCTCATCATACCCCTGCCATCATCTGGGGGACCTGGGACACAGTGCCCCTCTCTCTGGGGCCTCACTGTGGGCTCCGATCTGATTTTGCATCAATACCAACCTAGGACACTGAGGAGCCCCTTGGCTCCCTGGGCTCCCTCAGCTCATCGCCCAGCTCTCTCCTCGCTCCTGCCCTGGGCCTGCCTGGGCCCACTTCCCTCCTCCCTCTCCCTGTCCCTTTGGGTGTGTCACAGTGGAACAGGTGTAAGACCACTCATGCCTCTCCTTAGAGCTGAATCCTGGGCAGTATCCTGTTAATGAGTATCAGTTTCTTTCCTGCCTTTTGCCAAATGCCCCCACAAGGGGCAGGTAGGGGAAAAGCCCTCTGCTCACCACAGTGCCATGCTGAATTCCTGATCCCGGACTGCAGAACACCTTAAATACAATACTAAGGAGCCATTGAAGGGATCTGGGCTGGGCAGCTGTACTTTCTGAAGGTGACTTTGCAGTCCAGGGCAGATGGATCTGGATCGAGGAAGGAGAGGGCTGGCAGCGGTGAAGTCTGGAGGCCACTGCATTGTCCAAGGGAGACACAGTGAAGATCTGAACTCTGGGAAAGCCAAATAGAATGGAAAGAAATGAAGACATGTGAAAGCAGCAGCCAGGGAGACTCACTAGGAATTGCCCATGGCCTGCGATTGGCAGGTTAGGGTGAGGCAAGAGTTACAGATCATGCTGAGGTTTTGAGGCTGGGTGACTGCAAGGATGTCTGTGCTGTTGATTGAGTAAAGAAAGACAGAGAAGGAGGAATTCTTGAGTGTGAGTTGGAGGAGGTTGCTGAGGAGGCAGGCAGGTTTACCTGGGGATCAGCAGAGTTAGAGCAATTCTCTGCTACAGCTATAGAAGAAGGCCAGCCTGGGCCCTCAGTTCACAGCACGAGCACACGTCAAGGCACAGGCTGGGGAGGGAGGAATGGGGGAGGCCAGAGTCGCAGGTCTTCGGAAGTGGCAATGGAATGTCCTGTCGCTGGCCCAGCAGGCCCTTCCCTCTGCCCACCACCCATGGGAGAAACTCACAAGAAAGTCCCGGTGTCAGTAAAGGGTGCTCCAACGGGCTGTGTTCTCAGACTAAAGTCATCACAGATACTTGTCCTGTGTGTAGGCAAATTCAGCACTCTGGGATTTTCCTCTGTACTCCAGTGTGAAACTACAACTTTAGAGAATGAAATCTCTTTCAGGGAGACTCTTTGGAAAAATAATGAATTATCACATGGGTTTTTCCACATGGCATGAAGACCAAAACTCATCAGCAAATCCTAAAGGGAGACAGGTTAGAGGCAGATAAAATACTGAGTTTGGCCAAAAGTGGATTAGACATGATAGGAGTTCCTATTTCTTTCCAGTGGCTTGTTATTACCCACAGCATTTGTCTCCACCCACCTCAGATAACAATGTGGATCATCTTAACTTCCTGCTCCCTGGTGTGAGTAGATTGCCTGAGGGAGATCGAAGGAGCGCGCTTGCTTTTCTGTCTTAAACACAGACAGACAGGGAAAGGCTCAGGGCAGAACCGAAGTT